CTGATGCAGCATAGTTCCAACGAGGTGGGTTCGGAGGTGTCCCACCTTTCCACTTCATGCCAGGGGCCGGACCGCGTCTGCTATCCCAGCTGCCTTGCGACGCTTTGTCACTGCGTCGATCGTCCAACAACTGGCGAAGCACCTTCAGCAGTTCTGACTCCTCGGAACTCTTACCATCACCCTTGCCAGCACGTGAAGGGATCGGCAATGTCGAGGGCATAGGCAATCTCGAAGGTGAGGGCTGTCCGACCTGCTCTGCATTCGAATCTTGCGCAGTGGTGCGGTTTCTTCTCCTTCGGCGTCGTGAACTCGTGGACAGCTCGGAGCCGGGGTCGGGGGGGCCACTCATACTCCGTCATGCCCACGGATGGATCATCCGTCGGCAGCTCACTCTCAGGTGATTCCCGTGCAGAGTCGGGGCCTGGTGGACTTGGGTCCTCAACAGGGGACCGAACCTCTGACCTCCTCCGGAAATCATCAACTGGGAGCGAATCCTCGACAGGCGCACTGTTGGCTCGGGGAACGAACATCCAAACACCGTCATCTGTCTGATGCCTGACTGGCTGGGTTGCATTGTAAAACTCTGTACCCATGCAAGCACCACAACGATACGAGTCGTGCCCAACTTCCGACCAACGTGCTGAATGACACCTAAGGCAACGCCAAGCGGGCTCAACAAAAGCTGTAGGAGAATCGGACTCATGTCCTTCAGGTCCAGGATCCTCCGCATCAAGCTCTAGGAACTCTCGAAGCTCGGACGGCGACCAACCAGCCGGGATCGAACCGTCCGAAGCCATGGCGAAGCACCAAGCTCCGGTGCCAACTGACCGTAACGTGTGCGAACGATACGAAACGGCAAAAACGAAACAAGGCAGCCGCGGGCTTTTCCTAAGGAAATCGGCTCTGTGTACACCTTGAGGTGATATGCCGTGGTGACGGGTTCCACTCATGTGCTCATGCTCTCATGCTGAAACTTCACATCAACGTCTTGATTTCTACGGATGATTTGGAGGATTCAAACTCCTGCTCAATCATCCTTCCCATGCTTTTCAGTTCGCAACCTGGTGCAGCCACTGGTCTATTTTGAGACACAGCAAGAATTGTCATCCCCAGACACGCCACAATACACAACATCTCAAGACATTACTGATTCTATAAACCAGCCTGCCAAAAATAGAATCAGGGTGCCAACCCCTTTTTATTGCATGTCACTGGTTAGGGGGCCAACCCCATTTTCACGCTTCTTCCTCAAAATAAATCCTCCTACCCCAACTCCACCTCACTCTTTAGCAAAACCCTTTTGTGAACAAAATGGGTCCTTGAAAAAAGGGCTCTAGCCATCTCTTTCTATTTGGAGTGTAGGCACGGCTATTTTCAACAAATGCAACCGCTGCTCCCAAGAAACATTCACTTTTAGCAGACTTTAAAGTAGTCAATCAGAGCTTTTGGGGGACGTCAACTCCCTCGGCTTGAGTGTGCAGCTCGTCATTGTCAAGGTCAACCTTTAAAATGTTAATTTCGACGACTGGGAGTCCTCGAACAAAGAAATCGATGGAATATGCTTGAAACCATGTGAGAACCCCGTTGCAGAACAACCCACGGCCCTACAGGACTTGGATACACCGTTGATACACCAGTTCATCCCTCAGTCGAACCTCAGTCGCTTCAGACACCAGATCACGACACCAGTGTCCTTCGAAACTCCCCGATCGCATCTCGGTGCCCCGAACGACAACATCCCAGGCGTGCGCTTGGTGAGGCTCACACCCAGCTGGTCCTGAGCAGCGAAGCCGGGAAGCTGTGGCACATGCGTGGCACATCCGTCCAAGCACACGCCGATTCATGTGGTCCATTCATGCGTGCTTGTTTCTGGGCCATCCTGTACCTTCTAGACCCTCATAAATATTGGGGAGCAAGCAATTTAGCAAACTTGAGGTGCGTACATATGCGTCTCATCTTATCTATACCCAATGTATCATATAGGACCACTAGGACCTTGTCAGCTCTCATGATGCTCTCATCCCCGAAGCCAACAGCTCAATGCCAACAGCTCTGTGGACTTGACCCAGTGGCGCCCAGTAATTACTCAGATTTCGCTCCTCCAGCAGCTTCTTGATCCCCCAGCCGAAATCTGCCAGCTGGTTGTCCAACACCTCCCAAAAGCGCACATGTTTGGTGGATGTTCCATGGGAAGAACACCACGCCACAAATGAAACAAATTGGACCGCAAAGCCGGGTTCTAGTCAAGACCACCGTCATCTTCCTTGTTTCAAAGAACAGCCAGTCAAGACCGCGGAGCCCAGGGACATCGCACCTTCAGGGCTTGAGCCTTTTTGCCCAAGGCCTCCAAGACAGTGCTGCTCAAGCAAATGACCTCAGTGCGCAGGCGCAGCCAAACAAGCGCAGGCGAAGAAGGATTTTGCGGAACTCAACATCAACATTCCGGGGACTGCAGCGTGGTACATTACTGTGATGTGATGTGGCTTTCTGCGGCCAACCTGAGGGGAGGAACATATAACCAGAGATAGCATGTCTTTATGCCACCCTCTGCTGGAGCGTTGGTTTACATACATAGCGGCTATAGCTTAACTCACTGTGAATTTTCTCGTTGGCACCTTCGAAAGACCAAGTGTAATTATCATTCAAGCTTTCGACGCGTGATCTCATAGAGTGTCCCCAGGGCCTTGTCATCTCTGGCGCTGAACTGGATCTCTTGACTGCCTTGCGTTCCACTTGAGATTGGCCGGCAAAAGGTCAGGTCCAGCTGTGCGAGAAACAAAGACTGACATGGGATTGACGGAGAGTCCCATTAAATGTAATCATGAGGACATATAAGGACATATTCTCTCTGCTGGAGCCAAGCTTCAGCATGTCGTCTTGTTTGACTCCCAGAAGCCCGTACCATGATCGATAAATCATGATAAATCAAATTCCATCAAAATACCTTATCAGAATCCAGAATTGATCAAACATCACACAACTGCCACTGATATCCACTGATCCCATCCCGGGCACATCCGAAGGCATCTCCACCGGTCCAAAACCTTCTCCGATCTTCCACCGTGAACGGAGCAGGTGAAGCACACTCCAGGCCTGGAGCGATGGGGCTGCCCTTGCTGGCATCGGTATAGGCTCCAGCATCCTTGGCCACTCCAGTCGATACGATGGATGGAAGGCGGTCGTCATGCATCAAGCCCTTTGCCAAACAAACGCAAAGTAACTTGTTGTGTTGTTTGTGTCTCCCCAAACGACCGCGAGAGGTCACAAGCTGGTGGCTCCAAGATGCTTCGAGAAAGCCGTCGCGACTGCTCAGGCTGCGACCCAAAGCTGTTTGGCCTCCATGTGGACTGCCTTTTGGAAGGACCTGGCGTGTGGGTCCCGTAAGCAGGCGCGGCAAGCAGCCATGGGGTGACATGTGTGTGTGAGCGCATGGGGCATGGCCTGTTGGTGTGGAAAGGTAATAATCCCAATAATATTTGACGTTGAAGAACATCAACATAAGCAACTAGATCCCAAAGGTGAGTGATGATTGCTTGGCCCCATATAGGACCCTCCACGCGACCGGAAAGGGGTCGCTTAAGGTCGCTTCACGCGCGTGAGTCGAAGCCAATTCAACAGAACTGAACCAACAGCGCTGAATCCATGGTCCACATACGTCTACATAGCGGGACACATCTCATTTGATAGGAGTGAGCGGGGCTGTGAAGTCTGGGCCTTGATGGTGCTAAGTTGGCATGTGTGGACTTCCAAGTTCCCTAGCTTCTTGCACTCATGCCTCAAGGAATGCATGTCTTACATTTGGCTCCCAGCTAGTCACTTGCTCTACTCAAATCATCCAGAAGTGGGTTGTTAAACTGTGATGCTTTACAAGCTGCAGTCTCTTCTCGCGTCAAGTCCAAGTTCCACCCGATTCTGGCCCCTTTTTTGCACGGCACCAGCGCGAGGGTGTTAGTCTGGCTTGGACCCAGCTCCAAGAGGAAAAAACAAACATGAACGCTGACTTTGAAGATGACCTCTGTGAACCTCGCAAATCATCTAAAGCTAATCACTAGAGAGTTGAAAGTTAAAGGATTGTTATTTGCTGCACCATGACCCTCCTTCTCTAATGGGTTCGCGGACTGAAACAATCACCCATCGCTGGGATCCTGGAACATCAGCGGCAGACCTCTAAAGTCCACAGAATCCCCACACGCACGATCAAACTACCGCCAAGAAATGTTAAGACCACGCGAAGAATGATGAAGCAACCATGTTGACTTGTTTAAACTCTCAGGATTATGCTGATTCGTTCTCTTTTTTGCGGTCACCGCGTTTTGGACTTCCCTGGCCTATCAAGACCAGCAATGCAATGATTGAACCAAACGTTGGCTGTCTTCCCCGATCGTTATGTGTGTTCTAGCAACATTGCTCGTGGTGCTTCTTGACAGTCTTCTTCGTTCATTCCTCACATGAGCAGGCCGGTGGCCTCATCCGAACCACCCTTCCTTCTCTTGCGCAGCTTGTGCACGCGCAGCAAATGCGCTGCCGCGCACACCAGGACTAAGCCCACTACACCCAAGGAAATGGCCAACCAGTCCGAGAAGGACTTCTTCACCTGAGCAAATTCTTTGGACCCAAGGATGTTGTTGGAATTTTCCTCTCAAGTGCTTTGCTTTCTCCTCTCAGTGCCGGTTCCTCCAGGGATTCTTTAAGGTAATGGAACGTGCGCATATACGCCATAAGAGACAAATCTTCGAAGCCCCCTTACGCTATCTTGCTCTTCCAGAGCAATTGCACACAATATCATGGCTCAAATGCAAAGTGCCTACAACGATTTCTTTTGCGCCTACTTAGCGCCTACTTTAAAGTAGGAATACAATTTCAACATAATTCAATCAATTTATAACTCAAATATAATATAATGCTGAAGTTGTTGATTCAGGAGCCCACTCCATAAGTATCCATAAGCCATAAGCTTTGGAGGGAATCTCCTGACTCACTTACATTCGCAACAACAAGACTCAAACATGTGGGGTCACTGCTGACCTTCCCATAAAGCTCACCCCAGCAGAACTCTGCAACTCGCGCTCGCGCCGCTCGTGCCGCTGGCGGGCGGCCTTGGGCAACGGGCTCACTGGACTGCGCTCGACATGGCCAGCCGCTGTGATGTCGGACTTGCGGAACTCGGCGCCGGTGCTGACACGTGGTAGTTCAGGAGGTGGGATGGTTGGAAGAGTGGGTGTGGGAGGAACCCCCGGCAGCCCAGCCTTGGAGGTCCCAGCTGTTGGCAAAGCTGGTGTGGCTGGAAGGGGTTGGGAGGGAGGGAGGGTTGCAGGCCAAATTGCAGTGGGAGCAGCAGTCGGCAAGGCTGCAGGTGCTACGGTTGGCAAAACTGCGGCAGGTACTGCAGTCGGCAAGGCTGCGGCAGGTGCTGCAGTCGGCAAGGCCGCGGTGGGGACTGTAGCTGGTAGGGCTGCGGCAGGTGCTGCAGTCGGCAAGGCTGCAGTGGGGATTGCAGCTGGTAGGGCTGGCGTGGGAGCTACTGTCGGTAACGGTGCTCCAGCAGGAGCTAGTGGGGGTAGAATGGCATCAGTTGACGGAGACAAGGGAGGCTCCATCAGTTCAGTTGTGCTCACCGCTGCTTGCGCGATAGGGGGAGCTTTCGGCACGTCCACACTATCGGCCTCGACCTTTTTGGGCAAAGTCGCCTTCGCTGCGTAGGATACGACCAAGGCCTCTTGCTGCTGCACCTCTTCATCCTTGGCGTCCCCTCGCACACGGCTCACCGAATTGGGGCAAAGGCGCTGCAAATACTCGCCCTGGGCCTTCTGGGCAAAGGCTGTGCTTCGTTGGACAACCGGAGGGTAAGGCAAGGGACCCAAATAGGGGTTCTCCACGTAGCACCCAAAGCCATCAGAGTATTGCCAAGCCTCAGCAAAGCATAGTCTGGAGGAAATCCCGCAGAAAAGGTGTCAATTGGACCAGCAAACACACTTGTCATGGTGTTTCGCTGTGGGCATGCCCTTTTGATAAAGGGTGATGGCAGCATTAACTGAATAGAATTATCATGTTGTTGCTGTCATTCTTGGTTTGTCACAACGACTGTCTTCTCTGCGAGGACTCCATCCGTCGCTCCGTCTCAGCGATGCACGTCCGGACTCCATCCAGGATGCCCAAATGCACCAATTGAACATCACACCCCTCCGCAAAAGTAGACAACGCATTGACTAACATATGCCCAGTGCAAAAACAGCATGGACTCCTTCAAAAACACATGGACAACGTGGACAAAGAAACCTACTAGTATGTGGTCAAACCGCACCAAAACTTATATATATGTCAAACATGAAAACAGATTGAACACATACGGCGCAAAAAGTTGGTTTTCAAGATGGCCCATACCTGGACCATCGACGATCCATATATTGGGTCTATCCGAGTCTATCCTATTACCTGTAACAGTGGATGATGGTTAGTAGAGGCCTTGTCCAAAAGTAGTGATAATTGTTTACTGACTGTTACAGATAAGAACAAACAGACCCAATCTACAATATATATATATACAATATATATTGTATATATATATATGTTGTCCATTTGGGCTTGTTGAATCTTGTTGACCTCTCGCCGATGTTCCCCCGTCGGGTTCGGGTCGAACGGCCTGGCAGGGCAACAACGACAGGCACAGCAGCTTGCAGCGCCGGGGCGCCTCGCAAAGCTCCGTGAGTTCCGAGTGGAAACGCTCGGTGAGACTGACAAGTGGTGAAACAAGGATACTTAAGGAGAATAAGGGAAACAAAACCATGAAACAAAAACATGTCGATTGCTTGGTTGGGACGTGTCCTGTGTGGGTAAACAGGTCACCCCTGCTGGTCGAGAAGGTCTATAGTCGTTTGCGACGAGTCCACTCTTGAAACTTGAAGGACGACATGAAATTGTCAGTTAGTTTCCTGAGTTGATCAAAGGTCGTGGGTTCATCCCTCCTGGTTTCATCAATCATGGTGGCATGAAACTTTTGATGTTTGGCTCAACATATGCCGACTTGTCAACAACACTTCTACAATGAGTTTCAAGTTATTTGCTGGAGCACCTATCGCTGAAGTACACATGAAATTGCGGACATGGCTCCATAGTCCGCGAGATGTCCAACAATCTTCTTGTGGATTGGGACGCTAAACAGTTTGCGTCTCTTCGCATGCAGCCGTCCAGCTTTCGTTCTTTTCAATTAGTTTGAGTCGACAGTCCTTCCGCACCTCCTTCGGTGGTGAGTTCTGTTGAGTTTCCTTCCTGGAAAGAACAGGTAACGGTAACATCGTCCAACAAAGGGAAACCGGTCAACTTTTCAAGGGAATGGGTGCGCGATATTCCAGATTGGGCATGGACATCTTAGAGTCTATAGTTTGTCCTCATCCCTGGAAGTTAAAGTTGTCAACAACCAGTCTCAGCCACACTAAGTGGCCCTTTGAACACGATACTCAGTGCAAACGTTTCTCCCTGGGCTTGTGGTGGAAGATTGCTTTGAGTTGTGTGGCGACTACAGAAGTTGCATGCTCATTCTGGTGGCAAGTCAAACATCATTCGCAACTTGAAGCAAGTTGTCCGGACCATGTTCAAGTGATTTATCATGATTTATCGTACTTGAAAAATTGCCAAGTTCACCCCAGCACCGTCATTCCCAACAAATCATCTGGGAGAGTGATGCCGAAGGGTGTTATTGATGGTGTCGATGAGTTTATATGTCGGATGGGGAAAACAAGCAGTTGATCCTGGTTGTTCGAAGGTTGTTCGCTTCAATCAATCGAACAGCTTGATTCTTGTTTGACTCTCCGCCACCCCAGGCTGGTGCTATATCCCGATGAATCCATTCGCGTTTGATGTGGAAGGAAGACATCCCATACTGGCTGTCAGAAGAGCAGAAGAGGCTTTCGGGCATCGCTGGACCAGTGGCCGGGGCCCAGGGGTTGGCATGGGCATCGCTGAGAACTCCCGGGCTCCATAGGCTTTTCGCCACAAACGACGTACTTTTTGCCATCTAACCAATCAAATGTAGATACTTGGGGATGCAGAATGGATCTAGGGGGCTAGTGAGCTAGTGCGTCTTTTTGGCATCGTTGCTGCTCAAGTCTCTGTTGTTATATTGTCGTTATACTTGCTTCATCCTCTTCTTCTGATTTGATTGTTTCCTCCTCTTCTGACTGTCTGGTGGTGAGTGTTCCTTGTGGCACCTATGGTATTCTTAGGAGAGGTCGCACCAAGTTCTACTTAGCCTTCTGTGACATAAGGGTCCGTGTCGCAGAGTCCATGGCTGGCAATGGTTGGATTTGGACCCAAATGCTGTGATGCTCAATGAGGCTAGGTCCTAGATGGTCCTAGATGGTTTCTATAGCGGCTTAATGAAGTTCAGTCACCTTCATTGAGTTGGATGAGCCATATTGAAGCTTGGTGATTCTAGGCTGAAGGCTTCAGCCCGTGCAGGGATACGCGACCATTTCGAGTCGTTTTCCACAACTCAAACGTCTTCACACAGAGAGGAGACGGCCCCCAAACACCCGCTAGAAACAGGAAGAGCATGGACAAGCCACAACTGAAAGGTACTTGGCCCATGTTGGTGATGTTGGTGGGAGGTCTCATGATTCTTTCTATGTCGTTCTCGTTCTGCTCGACATGGATCGCCCATGCCTACGTAGCACCCATCGGGCCTTCTTCAGGTCACTGGAGCGAAAAGCCAGGCTGAGACCTTTCGGATCTCGGAGGGACGGAGGATGAGACGTATCCATTGGGCAAGTGTCCCTTTAAAGTTTTAAAGTCATCGTACTCAGCTGAGGGATTGACCTCTGATGAGGGGTTGATGGAAGGAAGTCTTGGGTGTCTTGAGGAAGATTCGCACCTATATATATATATATCTTCACCGTCAGCCCTTGCGTGAAACGGTTCAGAAGAACATGCCACCCGAATCCACACATGTGTTGAACCATGGTAACGCCGGATCTGCAAATTGCCAGCCAAAGATGCATCTGCAGCTTGCAGATTGGGATCTGGGGGGGTCATATGGGTTCATACATGTTCATACGCATATCATCTTCACTATCAATTCCTCCAGCGTCGCTGTCCATGGTGCAACCCCCTGAAAAAGGCCACCCATGGCCACCAGCCTGACCATCGCAGTTACATGACCAAGTCTTCCATCTTCTCAAGGAGTTGTGTCATAGAGGTTGATTCTGTGAAAAGCTGAGGGACTAGGTGAGGGAGGGACTAGGTGAAGTCCACCCTCTTGGGCATTAGATCCCATGTTCGGCCTGGAAAATGACCGCCTCAGTACCCGTCACTGAGAACGCGTGATGCCCAGCAACTAATTGCTGAAATCATGCGACCGCCAAGGTCATCGGTGTAGCAACTTGGTAGTGGGTCTATATAACTTGTCAATGACTGTGTCAACATTCAAGTGTACACCGTCTTTCTTCTTTGCGGAGGAGTCAAGGGAAAAGATGGTCCGCGAGTTGAAGAACAAAAGGCCGAGCCGCCCATGAGTTGCACTTGCTGCAAGCTGGCCAACACCTGGTCAGTCCAGCAGACTGTGGAAACTGGGTCCGGGAATCGTAGCTGATTCTGGCAATGGGATATGCTCAAAGGAGTGCCAAAATTCACAGTCGTTCTGAGTTCTTCATTACAGCTATGGTCTGCTGGATGAATGTCGCGTTCTATGCACTGGCCTACGTCGTATACGGGAAACATAATCCCTCCAAAACATGGTCTTAGTATGTCTCAGCGGAACATAAACTGCGTGAGCAACTACTATTGAATTTGCTGCGCAGTGCATCCACCCATGCTAGCTTCTAGTGCCCGTGGGTTGCTATGTTGCTTGTGATCAACTTGGGGATCAGAAAGAAGTCAAGTCCCGATGCAAATGCACAAGCATGAAAGGTGACCAGCCCTCTTTGGGGAACAACATGTTTTGAAAAAGCATAAACCTCCTTTTGAAGTCACATATGCATGTGGATAATTACATGTGGCGACACTAAACCAAACCGATCCAACATGAACCAGAATGTGCGCTGAGCAACGCTGACTCTGTTGATCTGCCGCATCTGTGAAATTGGTTCAAGGGCATCGGCAAACCTCCTTATACACCTCAACTTACCATATATACTGACCATATATATATATATATGCCTCAGACATCCCACACAAACATACTGACATGCCACCGGTGGCCTCAGAAGACTTCTGCCACCGGCCGTTCCGTTGCTGCCACCGTCATCCGAGTGGCTCGGTAGGCGCCATGTTGAAAGCGCCCCGCATCCAGGAGCTTCTCAGGCCCCTCGGGCCCAAAGCAGTCGCCCCCAACGCCTCGGACGACTTGCCGGGCAGGCTCTTGCGGAAGCCTTCGAATGAATGAATGGGAGTCTGATCGCAGTCAGAGCTTGCTTCAGGAACGTCACTCGCCCAAAGGGCCGTTTGGATTGGACCCTTCTTGCTGGGGATGAAGAAAAACCCACGCACACGAGGGACCAAATGTATCTGAAAAAGCATGCACTTAAAACAAACGTGATCCCACATAGATAGCGCGACTTGCGGTCCCTGTCCGTCACGGCCTTTCATAGGCAGTGAAGATCCCACAATAGATAAACAAGATGATAGGCAAATCAACGGCGGTTGGAAAAAAAATTCGGGATCTCTACAGCTTCGACCGCGAAAAAAGGCTTGTCGGTGCTGATTTTTCCAGAGAATAGTACTGTTCAAAATAGAGGATGTGAAGGGTGCCAGCCAAAGGGGTGTGATCTACCTCCTTTAATTAGCACCTCCTGGTTTGAGACATGCTGACACTGCTGATGGAAGACACTAAACAAAATCACCAAAACAGATTGGACACCTGAGATCCGCTCCGTCAATATCAATGCTACCGCAGGGTTGCAGGCTGTTCCCAGGTAGGGTGGGATGAATTGAATTCCGGCCACCGTGGCCCATCCATCGTCCAAAGTTATCTGCCTTAATGCCTTTCTGGAAGAGATCTCTCTCCACACGTTTGGGGATTTTGTTTAGTTCAACATGATATGATTCAAGTATAGTGTTTGGCAGCACCATTTCAACCTGCAGCAATTTAGGCCTGAAGCACCAGTTGGCTCATGTTTGCTTACCCACATCAACCGCCTCCTGCGTCACAGGTCTTGTCACAGGTCTCTGGCACCTTGATAGCAGTCGGAGACGCCAGCGGCCTCCACCGTCGAATTCAAAACTGGCCCAAATTACCAAGGGGATTGAACCACAAACATCAGTAGCCGTAAGCGACCGTAAGCAAATGTAAGCAATCCTACCAACAGTGGTGAACAGTACGCGAATCAACCGATTTAACATGCTGTGTTTCGGCATTTTTGTCGGATGTAACATGTCCGTTCCCTGACGCCACTTTTGTTGCACAGTGGGAATGGCCGCTTTTCGGCGCGAGCGCAGGGACCGGCGCGGCTGGTACGCCTTGATAGGTTTGCTTAAATCTCGGTGTGGGTTGTGTCAAAGAATTTTGCACATGGCCGAGAGATGCTGATCAGATGTGATCAGCTTTGTTGAACAATTGCCTAGAAATAGAGCAACAGATCTCAAGGAAACAGACCCGATCACCTGAAATGCCAAATATCTCCTGGGCCTGGAAGGCTGAGACTCGGGAGGTGCTTCATTGGGCACTTGGAACTTCCAGGCGTGCTTCCTGCAGGCTTGCTACCTGCCTGGCTCAGGAAGAACCTCCCAACCAACTACTGGGCGATTGATCAATTCAGCTGACCTCTCCGGCTGACGCCAGGCACCAGAAAATCCCTGTCTTGCAAAACCCAATGGCAGTGAGGTCTGCGGGTCCGGCCCTCTGCTGCCATGTCCCGGTGCAGCGTAGACGTCCACTCAAAAATCGAGTGTGTAGACATGCGAACTGGAGTGAGATCGCCCCCAAATGTGTTGTTTTATCGCGTTTTGCTCATCAAAAGAGCGGCCCTTTAGAGGCAACTGTGCCATTTGCACAAGTTGCGGCGAAAAAAACCGACACGGGGGACCTTGAATTGGACTTCGGACCGTTTACAAACGGTAAAAGGAGCATAACATTAGCATAACATTATAGATTATAGTTAGATTGTTTTCAATTGGAAACCCATGGAAAACCTAGGTGCACATCATGAAGGGGCCTAGGTCTTATATCCCCTCCTTGCTGTGCCCAAAACCTGGTGCGCGTGCGCCCAAACACCCGGTGCTTGCCCGTCCGGGGAAGCGCCTCCCCGGAGCCGGGTCGTTCTTGCCATGCAGAACCTGAGTCATCACTTCGTTCGTGTTATCCCACCCTTGCAGCAATCCGCCGGATTCTTCGGAGGTTAGCCCCACTCTTGACGAAACTCATCACATGGTTACGTGGATGGCATGGTCCCGAAAGGAAGACGACTTTCCTTTGACAAACAGGGGGTTTTCCACTTCCATGTCAACGTTAATGAGTCGGAGTGTATCTGGTCTGACGCTTCTGCTGGTTGAGTAGCGTGGATCCATTGTGGATCCGGTGGCCATTCAGCCAGTCCAAAAGGTGGTGGAGGCACTCTCCCAATCACTGGCGGTGGCACTCTCTCTATCTGCCCCTCCCGCTGTATCCCTATCTACCTATCTATCTATCTACCTACCTATCTATCTATCTATCTACTGTGTTTATTTATGGATCCACCAATCAATCCATCCACC